CTCCAAACCCACGGGCTTTTTTCTTTCCTGCCAAGCATGAATGCTTGTTTTGTTTTGTTTTGAAGATTTTATTCATTTGAGAGAGAGATCACGAGCAGGGGGGAGGGGTAGACGGAGAAGCAGGCTCCCTGCTGAGCAGGGAGCCCGATGCGGGGCTCGATCCCAGGACCCAGGATCATGCCCTGAGCCCAAGGCAGACGCTTAACGACTGAGCCCCCCAGGTGCCCCCAAGGGTACTTTTCAAGAACACGAGTCTGTCACTCCTTGCCTAGCATGCATCCCTCAAAGACTCCCTTCGTCTTCGGGACCTTTCACGAGAACTGGGTCCCAAGAGCTTGGTCCAGGAGGAATAAGCTACGTAAAACCTGCAGAAAGCAGGGCCAGGCTCATAGTACCGCCTTCGCGTCTGGCTTATACCCTCCTGGGCTTCGGAACCTTTCTTCCCGGCGCTGGGGGAAGCTTTTCCAGAAGTACCTTCCGGCCTCGACGATCCTCTTTCCCGTGCTGCACCGCGGCTTTCCTCTTTCCCTTTCTCTTCCGGCCCGAGGTGCTTCGGGAGCCGCGGTCTTCGGTGAGAATCGGCTGCGCGGTATCGGGAACCATCCGCGGCTCCTAGCCGGCGGCCGGACGCAAAACCGGGAAGGACAGGGAGGGGTTCTCAAGGAGTGGATGGGAGAGGGAGAACGCGGATTTGGGGTAGAGCGCAGTCTGGTGAGGGAGGGTTGGTTTCAGGGCCCTCTTACCGGAGTTCGGGAGGCCGGGACCGGCGTCGGGTCGTGCTGAGTAAGTGGAGGCCGGGGGAGGCCGCAGATGCGGGGCCCCTGTGCTGCAGCTTCATTGTGGCTTCTGGCCTCACGTCCTTCCAGATCGGGGCGGCAGTGAGAGGCCCAGCCAGCCTGGCGAGCCCCCAGCCCTCATCTCTGCTCTCCTTCCCCAGGTGCAGACATGGCCAAGTCCAAGAACCACACCACGCACAACCAGTGTAAGTTCCCCCGGCCCCGCCTCCGTCTCACTTCGGACCCTGGCAAGGACTGGGGACACTCTGGGCCTGGGGCTGGCTTTGTTTTCGGCCAGGATGATCTCTGGGTTGTAGTTTAAAAAGCCAGGGGTCCTCTTGAGATGCCCACAGTGCTTTGCATTCAGGGATAGGGGCTATTCCAGCTCTCGAGAAGACCTGCTCTGGGAAGTAATGGTTTTCCCAGGCTGGCCGGCTGTGATGTTGTGTGGTCTTATTAGAGCAAGTCTTGTTTGGTCTAATACCTTTGCTTCCCCACAGCACGAAAATGGCACAGAAATGGCATCAAGAAACCCCGGTCACAAAGATACGAATCTCTCAAGGGGGTGAGTGAGAAAGGTGTCCGTTTGGCCCCCGTCGCACAGCTAGAGCGCCTCCTGTATCTCTTTCCGGCTTCAGCATCTGCCTGAGCAGCGACTGTTAATAACTGTCCCTCGTCTTGCCTGGACTACCAAAGCCCACAGTTTTTCTCTCCAGCCAGCTTTTGCCTGGACTTCAAGTTCTGCCAAAGCCATAATAAACCTTTGCTTGGCTTTTCCCAGCCCAGATTGTAACTCCCTAGTCAGGTGTAACCTGCCTCCGGAGGGTAGTTTGTCCCCCTTGCTTATCCAGAACACTTCAAGGAGAGAAATGGCCTTACCTTTGTGTACCAGGTACCCTGTGAGAACCTTGCATTCCACCAGCCTGTGGCCTTGAACTGACCTCATGCAGGGCTTGGGGGCAGCTTTCCTTGCTGTGCCAAGGAGTTCTCAGCTGAGAAGGCTGAGGCTGGAGGGTCTAAGCAAGAGAACGGGGTCCTGTCTGTCCCCTGTGCCCTTGGTCTCTGGTCTGTGGAATGAACCATTAAATCTCTGAACCTCGGTTTCCCCATCTTGGTCTCTTTTTCAACCTCATTTGCTGTGTATCTGTTGGACCAGGCTTGGTGCTTAACTGACAGCTTCCTTTAAAGAGGTGGGGATGGCCCTGAGGGGTTTCAGGAAGACCTCAGCCCTGCAAGCCTGGCTGATGGGGCAGCCTTCATTTGTTCTTTCCTTCTGCGCTTGGCCTTTGAGCTCAGTTGGGCTCTGGGCATGTAGCCCTGAAAATATGGTCTGTATGTAGCATTAGCAGGGTGGAGTGGTGGCTTTGGGGGTTGTACATGTTTCTCTGCAGGTAGTTTGTAAGGGGTGTGTATTTCAGCATTTTAAGTTTGACTTGATGTTGTCTACGCCCCCAATAGGCCTTGGCTGGAGCCCAGTAGTCTCCTGGTACGGCTATGGAGAGGGCCACCAGTGGTGGCTTGAGGCCCCACATGCTGCACTTACAGCCTGTACCTTTCCTTGCCTTCCAGGTAGACCCCAAGTTCTTGAGGAACATGCGCTTTGCCAAGAAGCACAACAAGAAGGGCCTGAAGAAGATGCAGGCCAACAACGCCAAGGCCATTAGTGCACGTGCCGAGGCTATCAAGGCCCTTGTCAAGCCCAAGGAGGTCAAGCCCAAGATCCCAAAGGGCGGCAGCCGCAAGCTCAATCGACTTGCTTACATCGCTCACCCCAAGCTCGGGAAACGTGCTCGTGCCCGCATTGCCAAGGGTCTCAGGCTCTGCCGGCCAAAGTCCAAGGCCAAGGCTCAAACCAAGGCCCAGGCTGCGGCTCCAGCTCCAGCTCCAGCTCCAGCTCCAGCTCCTGCTGCAGCTCAGGCTCCCAAAGGTGCCCAGGCCCCCACAAAGGCTCCAGTGTAGAGGCTTGTGTCTGCCAGTGTGAGGACAGGACTGGTGTGACCCCTGGGCTTCTGTCTGCATGGGGCTGGTGTCCTCCTTTGCTCTTTGTACAAATAAACCTGCGGCAGGTTCTGTCAGTTGGCCTGTGTCTGTGGTTCAGAGACTGGGATATGGGTGGGAGTCGGGGAAAATGGGGCTTTGGAGTACAAGAAAGGGACCTAGTGAAAGACATGGTGGAGGGCCTTAGGGAGGCTGGGGCACATAGCCTGCTGGATTGGTCGGTCTGGTAAGGAAGGAGAATTCCCAAATATCCTGATAAGTCTTGAAGTTTACCCCGGGGATAAAGAGAAGGACCCTGCTGAGTTCTGTGCTCCGGCCTGAGGTGGTCCAGTGTACACAGCCAGCATCCACCACTCTGGGTTGTGCTCGGGCCCCAGGACGCAGGGCAGTGGGGGCACTCACTGCCTTGTTAATACAGCTGGGCCGGACCTGACTGTGCCTCCCGGATCAGCTGCTCCCTCTGCAAAGTTACAGCAGCTAGTGAGGCAAGTGGTATAGTGGTCCTAGGCATTGTGGAGGCTTTCTGTAGGAGCTGCCAAGCATGGCACCATTCCTGGGCATGCAGTCCTCGAAACTAGTCTTTGAGTACGGTTGTCGTGTAATTTGTGGACCAACCTTGGCACATGGGAGGTTCCAAAAGGGTTGCACTTCCTAGAGCACCTGGGTGGCTCAGTTGGTTAAGCATCCGGACTCTTGGTTCTGACTCTTGATTTCAGGCTCTGGTCATGATCTCAGGGTTGTGGGATCAAGCCCTGAGTTGGTCTCCCTGCTCAGGAGGGAGTTTGCTTCTCTCTCTCCCTCTGCCCCTCGCCACCCCCTGCACATGGCACACACACGCTCGCTCTCAAATCTTAAAGAGGCAACAGGTACATCCCATGATAAATGGTCCCTCTTCCTCTGAAGTAGGTATTATTCTTTTTGTTTCACAGGGAAGGGTTGTTTGAGATCATGGAGCTCTGGGATGTAAGTAGCATTGGGACCCAGGCAGCCCATGCAGGACCCCAGAAAGTTTGCCCAACCAGGGCTGGGCTGCTAGCTCATGACTGTCATCCTGGCATGTTCTGGGGGGGGCCAACTGCCCATTACCAGGGGGTGTCAGAGAGGTGGGGTCTTGAAAGGGACCAGGAACAGGTTTTATGTCCTGGAGGTACTTTGGCCCAGCCTGAGGTCATCAGGTCAGGTGGCTTCCAGTGAGGCCTGTGTTCTAGTCCAGGACAGGGCATGAAGGCTCCTTTCCCATCATCCTGCTGCAATCTGAAGGGGGAGGCCAGACCCCAGGTCAGGGGCTTCAACTAGGCTTACTTAAGGTCACAACCAGGTTGCTGTCAGCCTCCAGCTCCCACACACAGCCTCCCTTGTTCCCTAGTTCTCGAGTCTCAAATCTTGACTCGCATTACTTACAAGCTATGTGGTTTTGGGCAAGCTGTTCTAGCAGAGCTGCTAAAGGGGCTCAGTGAAACCTGCATCCAGGGGCTGCTGGGAGGGCTCAAAGCAGATGGAGCTGGCCAAAGTCCTGGCTCCTCGGCAGAACTGCACGAGCAGGGGTTAGTACTATCAGGACTAAGCCTGCAGGCCACAGAACCAGGCTGTGGACTTCCCTCTGGCCACAACAAGAACTTCAAAACCCAGCCCTCCCTGTCTCTCACCCCATGCCTGTGGGGGTCCAAACAGGACTAGATCAGATCAGCTAGAGGAGCAAGCTCAGCAATCAGGCCATAGTGACTCTTGGTCCTGCCTGGAGCCCCCTACCTAGCAGGGCTGACAGACCGAAGCCTCACTCAGCACACACTGATCCCTGCCCAGGGTGTAGGGACCCTAAGATGAACATGCTAGCAGCCGTGGCTTGCAAGCTCTCCTACCTGCCCCACATCTGGCAGGGCCCAGCTGGCCTCCGGCTCTAGTACTGTCTCAGGATCCTGAGTGTGTCCCCAGAAGTGTTTCCCTGAGATCTCTGCTTTGGTTTCCTCCTCAGAGTGGTGTCCCCGACCTTATAAGTCAGATAAAGGCTTAGTGGCCACTGAGAAGAGGAACTATGGTCCCTTGGCGCTGGGCACAGACATGGCTGGGTGGTACTGGATGAGTGTGCTGTGTCGAGGGACACAGAGCAGCATGGGGCAGTGGGGAGGCACCCAGAGCCAGGCTCAGTTTCTCAGTGAAACGGAGAGGGGAATCGCATGTCCCCAGAGAAATGACAGAATCCCCACTCCATGAACAGAATCCCTGCTCTTAGTACTTCAGAACTGGCCTCTGTCCACACATAGACTTTATTGTTGGGCGGGGGGCAGAGGGGTCCTTGACACTGGTCCGATGGACGCTGCTGGGACTCAGCCGTCACTGGGCAGGGCAGGCACGCTGGCCAGGGCAGGCAGCAGCCGCGTGTATATGTCAACCCCACGGAGGAACACGGCCTCATGCAACCGCTCATCGTGGTCGTGCAGCCGCACATGTGTGCGGTTCATGGGTGAGAAGCCCAGCGCGGGGACCCCCGCCTGCAGGGGGCAAGGAGAAGCCATCAGGAGGAAAGCCAGCATCCAGGACAGCCCACCCCCCTGCCCACCCACTGCAAGCCCCTCACCACACGGAGGTAGCGGCTATCCGTGGCAGCAGGGAAGATCTCTGGCTCTAGCGTGAGGTGCCTGCGGAGGCAAGAGCCTGGTGAATGAGGAGGCAGGGAGGGGAGAGCGCAAGGGGAGCATGGAAAGGGTGAAGGAGGATGGAAGGGAGGTAGGAGGAGAGAGGAAAGGGGAAGAGAAAGGCGGGCCAGTGTGCTCACATGTCCTTGCAGGCCCCGCTAAATGCCGCCCACCAGGGGTCTGAGTCATCAATAGATGTCATTCGGGACTCCGTCCACTTCTGGAAGGAGGGGAAGGATAGCAGGATCAAGACAGGGCCTGGACAGCTTGCCCTATTCTTCACAGGCCTGTCAGTGCCTGGCATAGACACACACCCATTCCCCCCACCCGCCACCCCAACTTCCACCCACCTACCCAGATAGCCAGCTGGCCAGTCCAGCCACAGGCCCTCTTTCAGTCCCTTACAGGCCACAGGTCTGGGACTTCGCCCTGCCCTTCATCTACTTACTTCCTGTCCAGCTTTCACATCCTAGGCCTCTTCCTCAAAATGGCTTTCCCAGACCTCTCAGACTGGCCAACTACTTGTTACAGGTTCTCAGAGTGCAGGGTCCCACCTTTTCCTGAACCAAGTGTGTTCATACTTATATAAAAGTAATATATTAGGGGCGCCCGGGTGGCTCAGTTGGTTAAGCGACTGCCTTCGGCTCAGGTCATGATCCTGGAGTCCCGGGATCGAGTCCCGCATCGGGCTCCCCCTGCTCGGGGGGGAGTCTGCTTCTCCCTCTGACCCTCCTCCCTCTCATGCGCTCTCTCTCTCTCATTCTCTCTGTCTCAAATAAATGAATAAAATCTTTAAAAAAAAAAAAAAAAAGTAATATATTAATGTTTAATTCAGGTCTATTTGTCTCTTCATGCCGTAAGGACTATGAGGCCATGAACTTTACTCCTACGGTATCCCCGGCACCCAACAGTGGCCTCCACAACGGACGCCTGTTGGTGAATAAAATGTGTCCCTCGTAGCTAAAGAAACGCCCAGACGTATGCAGGTACGCCGAGCACCCACTGCCACGGCGGCACACGCCCGGCAAGCCCAGTCTCCCCTGCTCCCACAGCTCCCAACCGTAGGTCCCAGCTGATACCTGAGCAAACTCGAAGGTGACCCCCTCACCAGCTGCCCGGCACCAGCCCTGCAGCTGCTCCTCGAAAGCCTGTGAGAAGGGAGATGAGCTGACCTCTCAGGCTCTCCCTGAGCCTCCAGCCTAGGACTGAGAAGCCGGCTCCCTGCTCCAAACCCAGGTGGAGCTGGCACCTTCAGGTCCACATCCGGTGCCACACGGAAGTCAAAGCTGGCGCTCAGAGTAGCAGGTACCACGTTATAGGCCACGCCGCCCTCTAGCTTGGTCAGGTTCACGGAGGTCACAGCCCCTGCCTTCAGTTGGGGGTTTGACTGCAGCCTGCGGTGGGGGGACGGGGCAGGGGCAGCAGGGGGAGCAACAGATAAAGAGCCTCCCTTCTCTCTTGCAGGGCCGGCCGCCCAGACCCCCATCCTCTTTCCCAGGCTGCCTCACCTCTGCCTCTCCTTCTCCCGGAAAGCCAGGATTGAGCTCACGACCTTGTGCTAGGAGAGTGCGAGGTGGGATGTGAGAGTGGCCCCAGGATAGAGCCCCGGGAATTCCCAAACTCCCTCCCTGTGTGCCACGCACCAGCTTCTCCGCTGCTGTGTCCTCGATGAAGCATGAGCTGTGGCCTGGCTTCCCGGTGCTCGAGATCCGCACCCCTGGGGGGTGAGGGAGAAGGGGGTGTCTTCAGCATGGGAGGGGCTGGAAAAGTGATCAGCCTGGGGGTGGGCCCCAGTCTTTGCCTCATCCCAAGCTCCTCCGGCAGGGTGGTCTCCCTTAGAACGCACGGTGGAGAGCTGGTTTCTGCCCATGGGGGGCTACCCTCAGAAGCTCAGGAAGGAGAAGCCCGGGTAGGAAGGGGCTGGGAGGCAGAGGCTCTGGGTTCAAGGCCTACTCAGGCCCTGACCTGCTGCATGACTCTTGGTAGGCTGCCCCTTCTGGCCTAGCACCCCACCACACAGTGACACCCTCCCTCCAAGCCCATACTCACACCAGGGGCTCCGCTCACTGTAAAAGACAGTGAAGGCATCGGTGGGGTTGGCCAGGCCTGGGGAGGGAAACGGGATTCAGAGGGTAGAGTGGCCCAGCCACTAGCAGCCTCCCTATCTCCTACTCGCCGCTCAGGGTCCTGCCACCCTGCTCACCTTCATCCAGGGCGAAGCCAGCCCTCAGGGCCTGGAACTCGGGCCGCTGCACAAACAGCTCCATGCCTTGGTGACCTCCAACCTCCTCATCTGTAAAAGCAGCAGGGACATGAGATGAAGGAGCTGCCCCTGTCACCACATCCTCCTCCTCCCTGAAAGTGTCCCTCCCCAAGCCACTCCCACCTGGCACAAAGGTCATGTGGATGGTTCTGGGGAAATGGTGGCCCTCAGCCTTCAGCCTCCTCACAGCCTCCAGGTACCTGAGGGGCAATGACAGGGTGTAAGCCAGGGCTGGGGGAGCCACCAGATGCTTGGGCGGGCAGGCTGGAGCCCTGGGCCCCTGCAGCCTGCTCTGCCACAGCCTGGCAGGGGACTCTGGGAAGTCTCTGTCCTTCACTCTCCCTATCCTTGTAATGGTGATAATTCCTGTCCAAGATAAAGGGTCAAGATGTTCCTTGGCCTTGAGGTTCTCCAATGGCACCCACCCCAGGCCCTGGGTCAATTCAGTGGGCCAGTAGGGACATTGTGGGGGACAGGAGATGGAGGACACTCACTGGATGCTGACACACTTCATGTCCTGGGCACCCCTGGCGTAGATGTAACCCTCAGCATCCTTGAAGGCCTCAAAGGGGTCGTGACTCCAGTGCTCCTGCGGCAGAGAGGAGAAGAGGGACCCAAGCCCCAAATGTAGTCATTAAGCTACTCTGCTTAACTGTGGCCCTGCTCTAGAAGCCTACCCTAGGGTTGGGGTGACAAGTGCGGTGGTGAAGAGGGCTGAAGAGGGCAGCTGACTGCAATCCCTCATCTCTGCTCCCACCTCCACCCCCACCCTGGGCACAGAATGGACCACTGGGCAAAGGCTGCTTGAACGGAGTAGTGTCCTAAGAGATCGGAAGTCAGTTTCAGGACAAGCCCCCGAGGCTCCCTGGGGTCCAATGGGGGATCTGCATCATCTTTGTGTACCCCAAGGCCTGCGCCGCTTCCCGCGCCCCACACACCTTGAAGACAGGCACCACATCAGTGTGGGAGTTGAGTAAGATGGAGGAGAGTCTGGGGTTGGTGCCTGGCCACGTCAGAATGGTCACCACATGGCCAGGTGCCACCTGGAGAGGACCAGGAGGTGAGGAGGTGCCCCTGGGGCCACCTCCCCTCCCTGTGCCGGGCCCCAGGCTCACCTCCACTTTCTGACAGCCCAGGCCCAGCTGGCGGGCTCTCTCCTCAAGGAAGGCCACGGCAGCGCCTGGGGACACGGAGAGTCTTGGGGCTGCTTCTGCCTACCCACCCCTCCCACTGGCCCAGGCAGAGCTGGGGGTACATCCGGAGAGGGAAGCCGACCCTGAGAGGGGCTGCTGCCTCCTCAGTGCAATTCCACATTGCTCGAGGACACCTGCATTTCTGTCTCCAAGGAAGAATGTTCTGTCTGGCCAGTCAGTGACCCTTTGTGGAAGGTCAGGTGGAAAGTCCATAGCTAGAAACAGGAGTGATGGCTCTCTTCCTCAGGGATGGGAAAACTGGCGCAGAGGCATGAGATTCACCTGATGTCTCCCAGCTGGTAAATCAGGGCAGGGGTTTGCACCCATGTCCACCATTCCCAGCCACCAAGGTTGATTCCCTAAGGGCTGTGGTCTTTGTCCTGCCCGGGTAGGCTTCCGGAGCTTCTTCCTTGAGGCTGTCCGGTCTCCCCTCCCCCTCCCCCTCCTCAAACCCCGGGGCAGTGAGGTGAAGCTGTTCCTTAACCAGCCACCAGAAGTAACTCTGGGTGCAACACAGCCTGGAGGGGCTGCTGAGCAGTCGGCTGGCCTGGGGAATGGCTAGAGGCGTGGAGGTGCCCGTTTGGTGGGAGTCTGGTGTAGAGCAGTCCCCGCCCCGGGACCCCACCGCAGGCCCTGGAACGGCCGCGTTCTCACCGTAGTCGGGCTTGGGCTGGACGGTGCGGATGCGCAGGTACTGGCGGAAGAGTGTCACGGACGGGTGCTCGCCCTCGCGACCTTCGCTGGCCATGGCGCTGCGCGTGGTGATCTAGGGGCAAAGCGAGTGGCTACCTACCCCTCCCAGCCGCTAGGGCCCAGTGGACTCCACCTACCCACGACCCTGCCCCAGGGCGGTTCCCCGTACGTCCCACAGGGAGAAGACACCCCGTTTCGGAGCCCCCGTTCTGTTTCAGGGGCTGGGCTGGCCGCTTTCAACACATTTCCGTACTGAATCGGCCAAAGAGCCCCAGGAAGTTCGTGCGTCTATGCCTAGTTTCCAGACGAGAAAGCTGAGGCTGAGAGGTTCAGAGACAGCTAGAGAGTAGCTGAGCCGGGTCTGAACCCTGACGTTGACTCTCCCTACCCTCCTCAAAAAAATTCTCCCAACTGCCCGGATTTTATGCCATGTAACCCCAGATCCCTTTACCCCTCTCCGGGGTCCCACCTCGCTCTCCGCCGGTCTTGCGCCCGCGCTTGCCTCTCAGTTCCCGCCCCGGACTGTGGCCGGGGCTCAGGGTCCTGCGAGGTCGAGGGCTCAGAACCGCCCCGGTCCGCCCACCACGTGGCCGGACCGGATCGCGGGGCGGGGCCGAAGACTGCGAGTTAGGGCCAGCCACCCATCGTCTCTGCGGCGGCGACGGCGAGGGAGTCTCCGCCCGCCCCAGGTTCCAGCCTCCTCTCGGGTTACGGGATCCCTCTCGGGCGCCGCCACCGCCGCCGCCTGCTCCGCCCCGGCGGCCGGCCCCGCCCCCTCAGGCCCCGCCCCACGGGCCTGGGCGGCGAGCTCCGGGTGGTCCCGCCCCCGGAGGGCTCTACCTCCTGCAACCTCCAGATTGCGCGGGAAGAGAGGAGAGCAGACCCTTGACACGAGAGGCTGCGTCTGCCCCCTCGGGCGCCCTTCACTCTTGGGGTACAGCGCGGCAAAGTCCTGCCAGAGCTGGCCCCTGCCTGCTCCCCCACCCCCTCCCGCGAGTCTCTGACTTCTCCCCTTTCCGTGTCTCAGCTCCTCAGGGAGGTCCTCCCTGACCGCCTCAGCCCCCCGTGTGGAGAGGTTATTGGTCAATATCTGTCCCCTCAGACTGCAAGTTCTAGGAGGCTGGCTGGTCCATGTACCCACAGGATTCTGTCGCTGGCGGGGCACAGAGCGGTGGCAGAGCGGACGCCTGGACACGTGCCAGGAGCGGAGGATAAATGGGCAGAGGGGCACATGGTGACTTCGTGTGAGATCGTGCAAATGTGCCGCTGTGGGAGCTAATCCAACAGTGCGTTATCAGCGTGTATGACCGCGTGTGTGACAATTCGAGTGTGAGATGGTGGCCGGGTGTGGCAGCGTCTGCGTGACAGAGGATGACACGGTGAAGGTCACCGTGAGGCTGTATGACCATGTCAGAGGGGGGGATGGCACAAAAGCACACATGTGGCATCCTCTTGGCTGACCCTGCGCCAGGCTCCCTGGCTCTCCCGCGGCCACCGGAGAGGGGGGATGAAGAGGCACAGGTGTCCCACTGGCCACCCCCAGGCTGCACACGGTTGTAGCTGCCCACTTGTGTGCCTGGTTGCGCTTTGTACCCTCGGCCAGTTCTGCCCCCCGCTACAGGGGCTGAGTCGGCGTGGGGAGAGGCAGAGCTGAAAACTTCAACCTCTGTGCCCAGAGGAGGCAGGCTGGGAGGGGAGGGGAGGGGAGGGGAAGGGGGGTCCGTCCAACCCTCCTGGGGTTTAAGTCTGATCTGCTTTCTGACCCACACATACCCGGGGGCAAGCAGGCTTGGCAGTTCAGCACCAATGCTATGTTAATTGTTAAGTCACATAACCACTTCCGTCCCTACACATCCTGATCCCTTAGGCCATAGGTCCTGCATTCCTGACTCACTGGCTCAACTGCCAGACCCTGGATTTCCCACCAACCCCAGGGTCACAGAGCAGTAGTAACACCTGCTCGCCCTGACCCCCCTCAAGCCCTGTGAGGCCAAGTGCTCCATTTACCCAGACTGAGTCAATTCTAAAACCACATTTTGAGCCAGGTATTACCATGATGCCCATTTTACAGGTGAGGAAACTAAGTCACAGAGTGGTGGGGGCAGCCAGCTAGGAAGTAGACCATCCCAGGCTGCTGAAGCCTCCCTCCAGCTCCCAGCCCCAAAGCAGCCCCGAACTTGCCACTCACTCCCACCCCACCTGCTGCAACGCCAGGAAACAGGACCTGACACTCCCCGGGCATGACAAAAATGTGTTTTTTTATTGTGCCTGTGAGATGAAATGAGAGGTCCCGGCTGGGCCTGGCCCTCTGGCCTCCACCCTCCAATCCCAGGGGCTGCCTCCCTGGTGGGGCACTGGTCCAGACTCTCCAAGCTCAGGCCAGGCCTGGGGCCTGGTCAGTGGCTGAACTCAAGGCAGGTGGTCAAGGAAGGCAAGGAGGACAAGGTGGAAGTCTTGCGGCTTGTGGAGGTAGCAGGCGTGGCCTGCATCACGCAGCTTCACCACAGAGTGGTTGGGCAGGTGGCGGAGCTGCCGCAGCGACTCCCGAGCCAGGATACGGTCCAGCTCCCCATACAGGATGAGAGTCGGGGTCTGCAGGGCAAGGCAAGGGGCTGTGATCCTGGGGTCTGACGGGGACTGACCCTCTAGCTACCTCCTTAGGGAATCTTTCCCAAACACCCCATCTCTTTCTATCCAGATGAGGCCATGTGTCCTCCAAGTGAGACCTGAGTCCTTTCCCCCCATGACTCGAACCAGGGATAGGAAGCCGGACCTTTGGAAACCCTCCTTCCAGTACCTTCACGGCCCAGAATTGTTCCTGGGTGTAGTTCTGGGTGGAGGCGGGTGCAATGGGCACAAATCCACGCAGCTGGTGGTGGCCTCGGATCAAGAAGGGCAGGGCGTAGTGGCCACTCAGAGAGGGGCTCACCAATACGGCATTGTGCACCTCCAGGTCTCGCAGCACTCGCTCCAGCAGCTCCGCCCGCCCTGCCTCTGTGCTTGCCTCCTTGGAAGGTGCCGAGTTCCCAAAACCTGGGAACAGCAGGAGGCACCAGCTGAGGGAGGCTGGAAAGGAACCCAGGACTTCCTGCCCACCACAGTGGGGGAAATGGCAGAGGCACATGGCAGCGCTACCCCCAAACTTCCCAGAAGCTCTTTTTTGTAATGGGATAGGTCTGCTAGAAAAGCATCTTTCATTCATTAGAGTGGCAAAACTAAAAAGATTGACAATATGCAGTGTTGGGGAAGATGTGGGGAAATGGGCACTCTCATCCATGACTGATGGGAGTATAAATCCACGTGGCATTTTTGGAGGGTAAGGTAATATTTGTCAACATTTAAAAAATGTGCATCCTTTGACCCATCAATTATCCTTGGTAGCTACCCTACAGAAATTATTGCCTCCACGCTCAAAGAAACATGTCCAAGGTTGCTTCAGCTTCATGTCTCAAGCATTTCCACAGATGCTGAAAACTCAACTTACATATCCATCAGTGAAGGAATGGGCAGATCAAACCTGTCCATCCTTCTGACAGCACACAGTACAGAGAGGGAGATTCATATTGACTGGCCCGCTCTATGAGATGTGGTATAGGGGGAGAAAAACCAAGCTGCAGAGAGATCTGCTAAGCAGACAGGACACCAGTCATGTTTCTAACCTCACCACACAATCCTGCATATTGTCTGTCTTTCTATATACGGAAATGCCCCGAGGGGGTCGGACACCCCCAAACTGCTGGGAGAGAAATGTGGCATGGGTCTCTGAGGGCGTCACTCTTGCTTGATTTTTAAAGACAAGAATGATAGCATAAATCATTTGCATAGCTACAAAACCGAAAAGCTACCTAGTTTGTCATAAAATGTCCACTGAGATCTCTCCGTGCAAGCACTTGTGAAGTGAGTCACGTTTCTATTTGCTCTGTGACATGCAACAGTCCACATTCTAGTTTTCGAGGCAGAAAATAAAGACACAGACCTTTTAGTATTGCCATCTTGTGTTGCAACCTACCACGGCTTGTCCAGACATTGCGGTCCAATCCCCACCCCCCAACCCAGCCCTACCTTAAGGGTTTCCTACCCCTCCAAGTCCTCCCCTGGGAAGCTGCCCCTTGTACCTGCTGGATGTTGCCTCCCTAGACCCCGGAGTGGGGGCTCTCACCTGGGAGGTCAAGGGCCACGGCCCGGTAGCCCCTCTGCGCCAGCAGCTGCAGTGTGCCCAGCTGCTCCCACGTGTGGGAGGTAAAGGCCTTTCCGTGGAGTAGCACCACCTCCACCCTGTGGGCACACAGGGGAGTGTGTGTCCTCGGGGTCTGGAAGTGGCCCGCCATTCTTTCTTTCTAGGCTTCTCCCACTGCCCTCCCAGGCCCTGAGCACCCTGAGTTGCGCTGGGGTCCCACACAGGGACTCCCCTTGGACCTAGGCCTTCCACTACGCCCTGAGCTCAGCACCCACCTGCGTGCCCCGTGGAGCGGCAGCACCTCGCGGTAAAAGATGGGGGAGTTGCCAGGGGTGAGACCAGCCAGGACTGTGACATTGGGGCCTCCCCAGAGCCAGGAGGTCTGCTCAGGGGGGCCTGGCAGCCCCACGTACAGTAGCAGCATGAGCAGCAGGCCCAGGCCCAGCAGGGCTACCTGGGACCGGCTCATGGAGGTCTGTACCACAGTCTGGAGGAGAGGAGAGGAAGAAGAGGCTGGGGCTGTGTCCCCACCAGGTCCCCTGGACCCCATCCCCAAACCCCACCCCCAGAAGCCCCCAGCAGAGGAACAGCTCAGCCCTTGCCCTTTCTCCTGCTCTGAGCAGGGGTCTGAGGGTTCACATCCACTGCTCCACGCATGCTGGGGTGGGGGCTCCGATACCCTGCAGCCTGAGAAGGAGCGTCTGAGATGTCCCTGGAGACACAGCATGCTCATCATTGTGCCAGCTAAAACCACTTCCGTTCATCAGGTGCTTATGAGAGCCAGACCCTGTGTTTGGCCCTTCACATACGAGGGCTCACGAATCCACACAGGAACACTGGGGAGCAGATATGAATATAGTCCTCTTGCAGATGAGGAAACAGGCTCAGAGAGGTAAATTCTTTTGCCCAAAATGCAGAATAGCAAGTAAAGGAACTGGGATTTGAACCCAGAGCTGGGCTGCTAACCACCAGGCTACGCTGAGCTTGCCAAGGAAGAAACCATGGGGCTGGGAGGTGAGGGACGAACCGGAGCCTTGCTGGTGGAGAGTAGTGAGAAGCATCAAAAGTGAAAGACTATGTATAAAGCCCCATCCCACTGACAGCATGTTTGGAAATGGTTCTTCTTTTTTAATCACATTGCATGTAATAGTGCTTAAATCAGAATGTGTTTTCCAATTGATGGAAATATTCAATGCTCTATCTCAGCTGATATTAAGTGGGAGGAGGGCTCGTGGAGAGTATCTGGGATGGAGAAAGGCTGAGGGGAATGAATGGGGCCAGGGAGGGGCATGGTACACCTAGAAATGGAGGCTGGAGAGATGAATGCTCCCCCCACCCCCTCAGCTTCATGACCTGCTTCACGGACTCCTGCAGTCTGGGTCCTTTGCCTGTCCAGACAACAGACATCAGGACCCAGGACCCAGTTAGCCCTGGCTTTGAGATTCTGCTTTGCCACTTCCTGGCTGTGTGTCTTCAGCTTGTCAGTAAAATGGGGGAAAGGATCACTTTGCATCAGCCCTCTCAAGTTTCCTGTGATATTTCAGGAATACTGTGGACTTGACCCAGGGCTGTCCTGTGATCATTTCTTGGGCCTAGAATGAGTACACCTGCCTTATTCTCAGATTCCAGCAAACACATCTTTATGGAGTGCCAACTGGGTGCTGGCCCAGCTGGAAACCCATATTGGGCACCACCCTCCTCTCCTGGGAGCTTTGGGGATGTTTCCCAAGCCCCCACCCCCAGGCTCCCAGTCCTGGGGTGGGTGGGTGGTGGCAGCCCCTCTGATGCTGATGGAGAGCCAGGAGCTGAAGGGAGGAAGAGGCCGCTCTTCTCTTCCTTCTGACCACGAACAGCAACCTCCCACTGGGCATGAGCCTAGGCTCCCAACAGTGGGAGAATCCCTGCGGACCTCTTCCTTGTGGGGAGCCTGCTGCAAGGGAGAGGCGGGACTTTGGCCGTTGCCTTGGCAACCTAGGCAGCTGGTGCACTAGACCATGGTGGTGGGCAGCAAGCCAGCAACCCGGCATTGGCTACAGATACGAGAAAAGGCGTGCGGTCAGGGAAGCTGTACCCAACTTAGGTCCTTGGCATACGTGTGGACAATGACACACAGGTGTACACACGTGCACACAAACATCGAATCTTGTCCCCACATACTTTTCTTTTGCACAAGCTATTCCTGGCACGGCGGGTACAGGCAGCCCTGCTTGGCCTGTGAGCAATGGATCCCTTGAAATAGGTACCCTCAAAATCAGGCACACAGTCAGCCATCAGGAAGGCAGACGGACAGACACATACACGCTTTCAAAATCATGCTGACCCTCAAATTTCCAGCACACAGTCATATACACAATCCTAAAACACACACGTACAGGCAAACAGACACACGTAGCCTCAGAAATACACACGCACAGGTAGATACACACCCTCAAAATCACATGTACACAGAAACGCACATAGCATACAGACACAAGCGTACAGACAGACCGACACCTCCCCCCCAACATAGGCGCGTAGAAACAGACAGACACCACATCGACACACATCCAGATCCCGCAGAACGCACGCAAACGCCTGAGCGCACACACCACACACCAACACAGGCACACTCGCGCCTGCCACTCCCGCAGGACTCTGCCCCAGGGCTCCGGGGGCAAGGGGCGGAGCCAGGATGGCCCGCCCCCGGGCACCCTGCAGTCTTCACTCCCCGGGGACACTCACCGGGCCGACTGGGATGACCGGGCCGGACACCCCAGGGCGGGCCCCGCCCACGCGGAACCAGCAGCCAAACAGCGCCGCGACCATTGCGCTGCCTCCGCCGCTCTGCAGGGTGCTGCGGGGACCAGGCGGCGGGGCGCGCAGCCAAGGAGGCGCGCTTGCGCAGTCCGCAGTCGCAGGCCCCGCGCCTCCTAAACCCACGCAGGGGGGACTCCAGGCGGCGCCCGAAAGCACGTAGGCCCGGCCCACTATCCAGATTTTCCGGATTGTTCTCAGCCCGAGGGCCAGGGGAGAGCCACCGGCTTCTCCCCGCCAGACCATCTCTACGGTGGGTCAGTCCCTCGTCTGTACAGAGGGTTAAGGATCAGGATTGTCTTAAGGACCACAAAAGATGGGTCAAGCCTTAGCACAGTGTCTGGAGAGGAGGCGTCGCTGTTTAATGTCAGATATTATTGTCACTTGGCAACTCCAGGTCTCAGTCCAACCGCTTCCCCAACCCCTACAAATACACAGGCGCACACACTCGGTCCCAGCCCAGGGTGGCCTGTGACTCTTTCACTGCTCTTTATGGCACCTATCCTGGTCGGCGATGTGTGGCCAAGGCCAGGCGTGGCAGCCAGGCCGGGTACAGGAAGGCAGCGCAGGGCACGCAGGACTCACTCCGTTATAGACACCCTGCCAAATAGGCAACATCACACCCATTCTACAGGCCAGGAAATAGGCTCGGAGACGCTGTGAAAACGGTCGAGGTCACCTGGCTGGACTTGGGCAGAACCTCGCACTCAAAGTTGTCTGGCTTCACCGCGTGCCTGCGCACAACCCTGGGCCTGGGCAGGGTGGGGAGGAGGAGGGAGCAGCAGGGATGAGACCCTACGAACCCTTCTCCGCAAGCCGCATCATGTGCATCTGGGGCAGGCTGCTGTGGCCGCACCCAGCCGGGTGCTTGGAGCACATGGGGCCGAGGGGCTTGGGGAAACCGAGGCCGCTGTGACAAGAAAGATCTAGCGGCAGCGACCGGCCCTGCGACGGCTTGTGGCCACAAGAGGGCGTCCCGTAGCACGGCCTGGTCTCCGCCCTCGGCCGGGCCACTTCCCCGCTTCCCTGCCCCGGCCCCAGTCGCCGCCAGCACTCGCCTGCCTCTTATCTGCGCAAGCCTACGCAGCTCCCCAGGTACCGGCCCTGCGCCCCCAGACCCTCTCGTCTTCTGTCCAGTGAGATCCCACCCCCACCCAGCCCAAGTTCCTCCCCTTCCCATCTCGGCTCCCCAGGTCCCCTCCTCGGGTCTGGCCCCCCCCTCCCCCCACTTTCCGCGTGCGCCTTACCGGGCCCAGCGAGCCAGAACCGAAGTCTGCGGAGGGGACCGAGCGAGCCGCCGCGGCGCCGATGACCGTGCGTCAGAGCGTTGGGGCCCAGCGGGCAGCGCGCTGGGTACTCCGCATTCCTTGCGGGCCGGAACTCCAAAGCCTTTCCCAGCTCTGCGTTCCGGCTTCCGCCTCCGGAAAATGGGTTTTTAACTCCAACCCCGACCCCCTCCGGCCTGCGGGGCCAACCTACAAACTGTAACAGTGCCTTGAAGAGAAAGAGGTCGATAAGCAAAAGAGCTGCTTACTGTCGACTGAGCACTTATTATGCTCACTATGTGCTGGGAGCGGTGTCCAGCGTGGTACGTGCGTGAGCTCATTTAATCGCATCCACCACCTAGGAGCTGAGCACCATTGTGTTATCCCCATTTGTAGAAAAGAAGAATTAACAGTGAGGACAATAATCATAATGGGAGCTGCATGTATTGAGTTCTAAGGGCAGGCACCCTCACTTGTCCATTCTTTTTTTTTTTTTTTTTAACGCATTAATTCTTGAGGTAGGTTTTGTTGCCCCTTATTCCAGAAGAGGAAACTGAGGCCCAATGCCACACAGTTGAGTGGCAGAGGCATAAATAACTCCTCTGCCTTCCTCATCTGAAAGCACGTGGAGAGTTCTGGTAGCCTCCTGGAGGCCTCCTTGCTGCTCCCGGAGGGACCCCTGCCCTCTCTGTGGCAGCCTCTCCGTCCCGTCTGGGCAGGGGGTTCTGTGGCTTCTTATCAGTCTGGCCTTGAACCACAGGTGCTTCATCAGTACAGCGGCAGGGATGGCAGGAGTGGAGCTTCACGAGGGCACCATCCAGGTGCAGGGCCAGAGCCTCTTCTTCCGAGAGGCTCGGCCAGGCGGTGGGCAGGCTGCCTGCTTCTCAGTTCTGCTGTTGCACGGAATCCGCTTCTCCTCCGAGACCTGGCAGAACCTGGGCACGCTGCACAGGCTGGCTCAGGCTGGCTGCCGGGCTGTGGCCATGGACCTGCCAGGTACTTCCGGCGCAGGCTTCCGGACCAGGGTTGTGGGGGCCTCACTGGGGGACTGGGCACTGGGGCACTGGGAGGACCTAGCCAGGCTAGGCCCCCCCAAGCTTGACAGGGTGCAGTGCCCTTGGCAAGGGCCTTCCAGTTTCTCTGGTCTCGATCTGGATGTGGTCTGGACACTGTCCAGCTGCTTCTAACCAGGTTGCCCAGGGCAGTGTCTCAGTGCCTCTGAGCCTCTGTTTCCTCATCTGTGATGGGAGGTACAGATTTCGGGGGTTGGCTCTAGTGAGAATGGACTGATATTACGTGCATATGTGGCCAGTACCCAACACCTAAGACTCGGTGCTCAGCCAAGGGGAATTAAAATCTTTTGACAGAGCCATAACCATAGGCTCTGCGGGAAGCCCGAAAGAGTGCGACTGAGTCTCCTGACACATGTGGGGGCGGGGCGGGGCCTGGTGGGTGGCTGAGCCCCCAGTCATGATCCCAGGTACAAAGCCCTGAACTGGGTTCTGGAGTAGGGGAGGGGCAGCCCCAGCCCAGACTGATAGGCCCCAGCCCATGGAGCCAAGTCTGACCCTGTAACTGACCTGCTACCCCTCACAGGCCATGGCTGACATGGTTTCAGTGCCCAAGTGTGGGCCTCCAGGCCCAGATGGGATTGGTTCGGACAGTGGGTTGGACTGATCTTCCAGGTGAAGGTCTTGATCTTTTGGGGGAAGGTGGGGCCTGACTAATCGGAGGGGAGGTACATGTGCAGAGCCAGCTCCTCGGCCACTGTCCACCTTGCCAGCCCTGGAACAGGTGCCTCTTAAGCAGTTAATTCACTTAATTTTCACCACAATCTGAAATGGCAGATACTTTTTTGTCTCCTTTAACAGATGGGGAAACTGAGCAGCTGAGAGAGGGGTGAGGAGACTTTCCTAAGGTCATGCAGATAGTTAAGTGGAAAATTGAGACTTGGCCCCAGCTGTGTTGGACTTCAGAGCCTGATCCTTTCCAGGACACTCTACGGCTGGGAGAGATGGGCACAGACATAGAGGGAAATGCCTCATGCTTGCCAAAGAGATGACAGATCTAGGCTGCCGTAGGAATAAACTTAGGCACGCTGTGTGCTGCTGGAACCTGGCACTGGGAGATTGAGCTAGGAGGGCTTCCTGGAGGAAGGCACTGTCTCTTCCCTTTTCCCACTCAATGCCCTTGTCTTTCTCACACCTGAATCCCTGCAGGCCTGGGGCGCTCCAAGGAAGCAGCAGCCCCTGCCCCTATCGGGGAGCTGGTCCCCAGCAGCTTCCTGGCAGCTGTGGTGGATGCGTTGGATCTGGGCTCTCCAGTTGTGATCAGCCCATCGTTGAGTGGCATGTACTCCCTGCCCTTCCTCACGGCCCCTGGCTCCCAGCTCCGGGGCTATGTGCCAGTGGCCCCCATCTGCACTGACAAGATCAGTGCTGCGGACTATGCCAGTGTGAAGGTATCCCTGTGTGGGAGGCTGAGATGCCCCTGCCACGAGCAAGAAAGCGTCCATCCTGGGGCCTTTCCTCAACTCAGGGCAGGGTAACCAAGGGGTGGCTTCTGGGGGGAGCTAAACCACCAAACGCTGCCCTGTTGGTTTACTTAGCAGCAGATTACCGTGCCTTGGCCCGCGCTAAACCACGTGCTGGGGCAGACAAAAATCCATGCCTCTGTCCCTCAGGAGCTGGGGCCTCTTCGATCACCCACTGGGCCAGCGTGTCTCTCCCCCTCATTTGGGGTGGCCCCAGGGAGAGACTGAAGTGGTGGTGGGGCTAGACCTGACCTCTAGGAGGTTGGGGCTGGTGTGGCAGATCCCTGTTTACTGTTTCCCTTTCGTTTCTCTAGACCTCAACTCTTATAGTATATGGAGACCGGGACCCCATGGGTCTGACCAGCTTTGAGCACCTGAAGCAGCTGCCCAACCACCGGGTGTTGGTCATGGAGGGGGCAGGGCACCCCTGCTACCTCGACAAACCTGAGGAGTGGCACACAGGGCTGTTGGATTTCCTGCGGGGGCTAGCATGAGACCCAGCCCTGCTGATGGGGTGGCTGCTGGCCTGCCTTGGGCTCTCTCTGTCTCCTTCCTCCCTCCATGGGTTCCTGCTCATCAGGTACATGCAACAGGTGTGTCTCTGTCTATCTGGGTTCTTGTCTCTGGGGTCTGTCTTTTCCTCTTCCTCTTCCTCTTGCAGTGACAGACTAAGGAGGTGAAATCAAGAGGAAAAACCTCAGGAAGCAAGAGACGTAATCTGGTGGAGGGTAATCCATTAGATGAGCTTCTCCTATAAGCTTTCCTGTCCGCTCGCACCCCTTACTCTGCCCTGTGCAGCCTCCCCAGCCTGCCTCCAGCCTTTTCCTTCAGCTGCCCTCCAGGGCACTCACACCTCCTACTCCTGCTTCTTAGACCACAGATACATCCATGCCCACATGCATGCTTACACATTTAGAGCCATCCATGTTCCCAGATGTGACCCTTCACTTGGGAGCAACCACACAGGTACGGACAACTCTGGACTGACATGCACAGTCCCCTACAGCTTTGCATTGCATGCATTCACACACATGCATTCTTGCGCTCTCACACAAGCGTTCACATGGGCACATGCACCCTCCCAACCATGCAGAACCCCACTGTCCAGGGAGGTGGGGACCCTAGGGGCCAGCCCTTGCAGGAGTCCCTCTGCCAGGTTTAGGAGTGGCCAGCCCTGAACTCCATTCACCCACAGGTTGCAGCTGGCCCCAGACCAGAATTGCCACCCAAAAGGTGAGGGCCACCCTTTGGAACCTCCGATCTCCCTGCTTTTCCCCCTCTTTCTGCGTGCTCCACACCTCCCCAGGTTATTAGGCCTGGATCTGCTCAGCCAAGCTTGTTTCCTGCTCTGAGGTTTGGGGGTTGGGGAGACAGAGACTGGAGAGTGGAGGTCGGTGAAATAAAGTGATGCAATTAGACCCCGCAGGCTCTCACTGTCTCTGGAGCGCCGCCCCTCCCCCCGCCTCCTGGGGACCGGCACTGTGGGCCCTTCCCCCACCCTGGCGGGACCAGATGGTCCCCCTGCCCTTTGTCCACCCGGCCAGATGGAGGGGAAGGGAGATTGGATTCCCCTCCCCACCCACACACACACACCCAGGTGCCAAGAGACTCAGCTGTGGGGGGAGGTGGAGGTCAGTGGGACCAGGCTGAGCCGATTACGGGGCGGGGGGGGAGGGGGGGAGGTAGATCGGCTCCCCAGGGGGTACGGTGGGGGAAGGAGAGGGCTTGGGGACCGTCCAACTCCTCCCATTCTCTAGCAGAGTACACAACTGCGCCGCGGCCCTTGCGACCCTAGCCCCAAAAAGGCATTCTGGGGGTAGCTTTGGGGGGAATGGCGGGGCGGGGTGCACGGGATCACACCGCTCTCAGGCCCCTCCTCCAGCCGGTCCGGTAACCTGTCCGGGGCGGACAAGGGCCTGGCCTCGCGGAAGCTGTGGGTGGCTGAGGGGCGCGGGTCTTGGTGGACGAAAGCCCAGCGCGGGGATGGATGGCGCAGAAGCGAGGAGAGCCGGGAACCGGGCCGGGCGGAGGGTCGAAGCCCGCGCTCCGAGAGATCCGAGCCGGAGCCGGGCAGCGCGGGGACTGGGGTGGAGCGGGGGGCTCGGCGGAGGCGCCGGGCAAGCGGCCCTGGCGGGCAGAGAGC